TCCTTAGCAAGCATGTAACCCTGAGTTCAAGCCCTGGTACCACACCCCTCCCCACCAAAGGAGCAGTATGTGGAACCTAGTTAGGTCAGTGGAGGTGTGCCCTGGGGAGGAAGTATTGTTGGTGTCTTGAGGTGAGTTCTGTCATGAGAATGGTTGCTCTTTCTCTGGCTTCCTTCAAGCTAGGTGATCTGTGGATCTCATTCAACCCCACGATGATTCCATCTGCCCTATGGGATGGAGTCTAGAAGCCTTCTCTAGAGCCTGCAGATGCTACTGCTTTGTTCCTCAAACTCAAATTGGGAGCTAAATAAACTCCTTTTTCTTCACAAAGAACCCATCCTCAGGCATTCTGTCACAGCAATGGCTGATGGACCAAGTCCACAGGCAACGAGTCACAAAAGGCTCTTGCCTTCTTTTTATTTTAAAAGCCTAAGTGTGTAGGTTATGGTTGCTTTCAAACATAGCCGGCTTATAAAAGAATTAGATAGCAAATGAATAGAATCCATCCCACCCTCAACCCTGAAAATATCTTTGTATTTCAGACCAGTGAGTTGCTTCTTTTCACATAAAAAGCAGCATCTCATTGTGTTAAAAATAGTGTGCTTAAAGACAATTTAAAATCCTGTGCTTAAAAACAATTTGGTTTTTTTTTAGCACCTTTCTATTTTTATCTCATTGAAAGTATCTCGAAATTTCATTTATAAAATCATTGCCTGTTAATTCCATTCTTTTTTTTCTCAACAAGCATTATTGTCTTCCTTAAAAGGCAGCAAAATAAAAATCTCATCCTCTTTGTTTTTATTTGCTTGTTTTTTAAGACTCTGAATAAAGGATGTTATTCTTGAGACTTAGCTCATCAGTACAATGAAGTACAAGCTTAACATTCCTAGACACACAATTGGGATGGGTCCACTGCATAAGTGATGAATATAGTCATCCTCTGGGGTTGAACTCAGTTTTCAGATGACCCACCTTGTAGGTGTATTGCCTAGAGCTGGACCTCAAAAACTAGTTGCTGGGCTCTTAGTTTTCTATCAACTTGTAGGTAAACCAGTTGCCCTTTTGACAGCTCTTTCCTTCCCAAGGGTCAGATGACCTAGGGCCCTTTGTGGTGGGGAACCTTCAGTCCTAAAAAAGTGTGAGAGGAAAAGCATTAGTACTGCATACTTTATCTTCTCCTCTAATATGGGAACATCCTTCAAAGAAGAAATCATGCATCTCACATCCACAGAAGTCTTTTCATCCTTTCCTGTGATCAAATTGTTCTTAATTCCTGGTTTACCATTCCTTGCTGCAAAGGAAGAACCTTAAAGCATGTAAGACAGTACAGCCTTGTAATCCCAGCACTGGAAGGCTGAGGCAGAAAGACAAGACAGTTTGAGGTAGCTTGGGCTGCATTGTGAATTCAAGGTCAACCAGGGCACATATTTAGAACCTCTCACAAAAGAGAAGACAATGCAAAACAAAACAAGGAGCATAGGGTAATGGCATGCCAGACTCGCTGGATTGGACTCTGGCTTGGACTCCTGGCTCCCACACTTCCCTTTTTGGTTTTGTCAGTTGTAAAATGCGGATAAAAATCTTCCCTTGGTTGTTATTGATTCAAAGATTTCAGATTGGGAAAGCTCTTAGACGTGTTCCCGGCACTGTTACCTTCCAGGTGCCATTGAAGCTTTGGGATCTGAAATCTTTTCCTAGGTTTTGATATAGTTAGTGAAAATGATTGATCAACTGGATCCCCAAGGCTCTTTTCTAGATCTCTCTTAGAATTGTCAGGCTATGGGAGAAAAGATTAGTATGCTGCTATTGTCAATAAAAATAAGAAGTAATAGACACCTTTTATTAAGCCCATACTATATGCCTAGTTCTTTTATCATGTATCATATATAGACAATTGAACTGATGCTTATTAACTTTATATGTTTATGTATTTTTGCAAGTGATGAAACAGGTCAATTTAATTATCGGAGGGCCTGCTATAGAGCATCCTATTTGCTATTTGAATGCAAGTATATTCAACTGTGACCATTGTACTCCCTGCCTTCTCCTTCCTACTTCTTCCTAGAGAGTGGTGGGAAAATGTGAGGGAGGCAGAGAAGAGAGCTGGGGAGAGGGGGAACAGAAGAGGAGAAGAGAGGAGAGGAAGCCACAGAAAAGGAGAGCAACAATTAACACCTCCTGGTGTACTTGGTGTAATAAGTGGCATAACTCACTTAAGCCACAGCAGTCCTGGCAGGCCGCCAGTGGTGGTGGGATGAGTGGCAAGGGGGCTATGATCATGTGGCCAGATGTTCTCATGCTATCACGCGGCCAGATGTTCTCAACCTTTAAGGCTGTCTGTGCACCTGCCATGGGCCCATGGGACTGCAGGTCACGATCCGGGTCTCTGTTGAAGGCAGAGTAAGGCTAACCTTGGTGAGTAAGTGGAAGAATTAAATTTTCAAAGCAGGAGTCATCAGGAAATGACCTCTGCTTCTGATAGCAATGAAAGCCTGCTGCTTGCTGGCTCAGCTACACTGGGGGCTTCCAGTGCCCACTTGGGGCCACCTAAATTAAGCTCATGATGAAAAGTGTCATTTCTGCAGGCTTGACCTTCCTTATTTATACAAGGAAGCCATGATGCTGAGCACCCACCACCAAACACTGCCTTTCATCTGCGGGCCTCCTTTCCTCTTCCTATGCCAGTGAGAATGAGGCCACACTGGGTCTCACTTTTGTGGAGCTGTCTCAGCTCCAGTAAAACCTGGAGCATCAAGTACCCATAAGACCACATTAGACCTCAAGGCCATGCTTCTGTAGACTTGTCAGTTTCCTTGGCTCCAAGTGAGACTGACATCTGATGTCCTGTTGGCTGCCAGCACTATCCACCCTTGAGGGAGTTCCCAGCTCTCTCAATATAAATAGCCTTATGGCTGGGGTCAGAGCTTTACCTTTACTGCTCTCTCTGCCAGTAGCATCTCATTGCATGCCAGTAGCATCTCAGGGAAAAGTTTCATCACAGCCCATCTTTCTAGAAACACTGCACTGGGACAAGGCTTTCTGTCTCATCACTTCCACCTTGGCCCATGTCTAGGTTAACTATCCTTTCCCATGAAGCATGTTATGAGATCATCTCTGAAGCCTAGGGGCATGGTAGAGGAGATTTTGTTTCACTTATTTATTTATCTATTTATGTACTTATTGTGTTGTCCTGGGGCTTGAACTAAGGGCCTGAGCACTGTCCCAGAGCTTTTCTGCTCAAGGCTAGCACACAACCACTTGAGTCACACTTCTACTTCCAGCTTTTATGGTAGTTAATTGGAGATAAGAGTTTCACGGACTTTCTTGTCCAGACTGGGTTCATACCTCAGTCCACAGATCTCAAGCTCCTGAGTAGCTACGATTACAGGCCTAAGCTACCAGTGCCTGGCTTCCTCCTCCTCCTCCTTTTCTTCCTCCTCTTCTTCTTCCTCCTCCTCCTCTTCCTCCTCTTCCTCTTCTTCCTCCTCCTCCTTCTCCTCCTCCTCCCCCCATCTTTTTTTTTTTTTGTGAGCTAAGAAAATCAGTCTCAGAAAGACAAAGGTGAGTTGCTCCCCATTGGCCTTGGGCTGGACTTGTACCCTGAGACCCTCTGCACACACATATTTTGCAGCCAGTCCGTGCCCTTACTTTTTGTGGGAGAACACAGCATTTTCTGATCTTTAGATCTGGCTGTGCTTTTCTGAAAGTGTGACTCACACCCACTTGTTACTGATGTTGATATTCAGAAAGGTTAAAGATGGAAGAGCTTGGCATAAGTTAATGATGGCCTTGTAAGACAAGAGGGCATAATTCCTTTTGGTTTGGCCAATGTTTAGTCACTGGAAAGTCCACTCCACTCAGAGAGAAGAGTGGACTTTCATCCACATGACAAGCAGTGGGGCTCTACTCCAAGCTTCCTTCCTAAGCTCCCTTCCTATTGTTCCCTCCTCCTGGACTTCCAGGGTCTGAAATCCCACCATCCTGGATCTTGAAATATAGAGATCCCATTAAAATAAAAGTTCTTCCATATGGGTGTTTGTATATTAAAAAGATTACCTGAAATACAGATACAAAAAGGTGATTAAAGTCCAGACAGCTGGGATACAGGGAGGGGCTGCAGAGATGGTCCATTAGAGGAGAGTGGTATCTGGAGTTGATCCAACCCTGGGAAACACAGGATGGGTAGGCTCTGAGATACCATGAGCTGAGTTTGTAGGTTTGTTTGAGGCCTTCAGAGCCATTCAGGTTGCTTTGACCTCCAGTCATCTGGGCCTAGGAATGTAAAACAAGTGGTTAATGATCTCAGTGTTCCCCACTTACTGCTGTCAGAGAAGAGAGAGGCCCCTGGGGACATAATCATGGATACTATGTCCAAAGTTGGAATGAATCATGTATTCAGGAAAGTGTGGCTTCTGCCAAGTTATTCTTTGAAAAAGTGAAAAAATTAGAGGTGACAGAGGATCTGTGTATAAGGATGTGAGTGAAGAACCTTTAAGGTCAGGAGGGCAGGTACAGAGCTCACCCCAACACCAGCACATGGGGACAAAGACCTAGGGGACCCCAAAGGCTGGTAGGGGTTCAGAACCAATATTCTAGAGTCAAGATACATGCCAGGGAAGGCCTGACTATTTGACCTACAGCTGCTAAAGTATATGGGAGCATCCTTTGGATGCCATCTCAAAAAATACCTGTTTTTACTAGGAGGTCATGCCTGTAATCCTAGCTACTCAGGAGGCTGAGATCTGAGGATCATGGTTCAAAGCCAGCCTGAGCAGGAAAGTGTGAGACACCTATCTCTAATCAACCACCAAAAAGCCAGAAGTGGAGCTGTGGCTAAATGGCAGAACACCAGCCTACCCCAGGACTGGCACCAAACAATAGAAATGTCTGTTTATGGTTTCTTTAGCAAATGTTGACTGTGTGCAGGACCTGTTCAGGGCATGTTGGCTCATTCCATAGTTTTCAAGGGGCTTCTTTTCTTTCCCATCTTATTCCTCCAGCTAGCGAGACCTGCAATGACTTCCACCCGATGTTCTTCACCCATGACAGATCCTTTGAGGAATTTTTCTGCATCTGTATCCAACTCCTGAACAAAACCTGGAAGGAGATGCGGGCAACTTCCGAAGATTTCAACAAGGTAAGGTGGGCCTGAGGAAGAGGCAGGAGCCTGAATTCTCTGGGGGACTGCATTCTCCGGGGCTCTGGCACCCCCAGGGGCACTCAGCTCATGGAGAAGGGGGCTGGCGGTGAGAGAAAGAGGAAGATGGCTTTTCCATTGTTTCCAAGTGGCAGCATTCGCTAGGGGATGTCTGCCGTAGCCACCAGCAGCACTGCATAGAGGAACCATGGTGAGGGTGAACCTTTTCCGTCATGGCATGCGGGGATCTGAGTTGGTGGCGCAAGCTCAGTTGGGGAGGGACTGTCTCCCATTTGTACAAGAGACAGCATGGATCCCCGTGACCCAGGAGACTGCTCTGCTCCATCTGTTGGTTTCTCTGTAGCTTGTGCAGGTATGGAAATCTGTAGATCTTTCCTCAAAAAGAAATTTTATTAAAACACAAGATCTGTTTTCAGGGAATCGAGTAAGTTTATCTGAAGCAGTTCGTGGTTTAAATAACAGTTAAGTCCTTGCACTGAAATATTCTTTGGTTTTCTACCTTATAAAATTTCTCTCAAGAGTGTGACTGGCACATTTCTCACACTGTGTGTGGAGAGAGAGGTGGTGAGCAACTGAAAGAAACGAGAAGCTCAGCCCATGCTTTTGCACAGGAACTATCTACCTTTTGATTAAATAACAGTAATTCCATGGTTAATGTTAACTGGTTGTAACCTTGGGCAGACATAGGTTAGCCTTTAATATCTTTTTCCCAAGTGATGGTACTCAGGGCCTCACACTCATTCAACTTGCTCATCCAGCTGCCGTGCTCTACCACTTGAACCATACAAGTCTGGCTTTTTGCTCTTTTCTTGAAGATAGAGTTCCATGGACTTTTCTGCACCTGCCTAGCTTTGAACCCTTATCCTTCATAATTCAGCCTTCTGAGTAGCTAGGATCATAGGCATGGACCACCAGTACCTTGCTTAGCTCTTAATACTCTTTTTTATTTTTTAAGCATGGGTCCTGGGGCTTGAACTCAGTGCCTGGGTGCCGACCCTGAGCTTGTTTGTTCAAGGCTAGTGCTCTACCACTTTGAGCCACAGTTCTACTTGAAGCTCTTTTTGGTAATTCACTGGAGAAAAGCATCTCACAGGCTTTCCTGCTCAGGCTAGCTTCAAACTATGAGCTTATCAGCCTCCTAAGTAGCTAGGAATATAGCCCTGGATTACTGGCACCTGGCTTTCTTCTGGCACTTTTAATTTGCTCCTGAATGTGGGGTGGGACTCGATGTGACTAGCTCCATCACTCTGGCACACTCTCCTGGTACTAAGGATCAAACCTACTCTGTAAAGGTCACAGAAAGAGGCCCAAATGATGCCCCTCATGGAAGATACTGCCAGAGAAGCAGCCCAGGGCTGCTGGGTATCTGAGCAGCTGTGCCAAGATAGGCATAATTCAGGGTCAGTGAAGAAAACGGGCACATTGATTCGTTTGTGATACAACCCCAGCCGTCTCTTCCTACTTCACTTGATGATGAGAGCCTTTGCAATTCAGGCACAAATCAGGCCCAGGCAAGAGGCAGCTTTTGTACGTACAATCAAGCCAGAGAGAGAGAGAGAGAGAGATAAATCATTCATCTTTGAAAGTGACTAAGGCCACTTTGCCCTGGACCAGCAAGACTCTGTCTTGCTGTGTGAATGTGACCCAGTCCTGAGCTTTCTGTGTAGGGACACATGTTCCCCTGGGAGAAGGTTGCTCATGACCATTGTGGACTGTTGGTTTCTTCCGTCAAATTAGATACCAAAGAACGGTCACATGTGTGGGTTTTTTTCCCCCGGCTTACTTTATGAACTGGAAAAGTATTATCATTTCTATGTATTTTATCACATGTGTTGCTTTGCTCTTGCTGTTGTAGTTACTTCAGACAGCAGTGAATTTATTCCTTTAGTTCAGAAAGCAGAACCATGTCTATGCTTTTAGCTTATTTCTTTTTAAAAAAAATTTTTTTATTGTAAAAATACTGTACAGAGGGGTTACAATTACATGGGCAAGGTAATGAGTATATTTCTTATCAAGCATTGTTGCCTCCTCCTTTGTTTCCCCTTCCCATTCCTTCCCCCCACCCCTGGCCAAAGTTGTATGATTATTTCTTTTTGTTGTTGTTGTTTTGTTTGACATTACTGGGGCTTGAACTCAGAACTTTGAGCTCTTCTCTTGCTTGTTTTGCTTGCTCATGGTTGGTGCTCTAATGCTTGAGCCACACCCCCAGCCTGGCTTTTTTGCTGATTAGTTGAAGACAGAATATCTTGGTTCTTGGTCCTCTCTACCCTGACTGGTTTCAAATGTAGATTCTCTGATCTCAGTTCTCTGAGTAGCTAGGAGTACAGGCCTGAGCCACAGGTGCTGAACTTCAATGCTGGAGTCTTAGGTATACATATCAGCTTCCTTAAAATGGACAGATTGAACCTTTTTGTTTATTTTGGGTTGTTGTTTTTTTTAATAACCTAGCTAGAGTTCTGTTGTAGCTTCTCAAATACAGATATATTTCTTTCCCCCTTTTTTTTCAGGTCTTGTTTGGCCTCATCTGGCCTTTTATATAAAGAAGGACTCTTTATGAGAATCACAGATCATCTTTCTGGGTTTTTCTGCCTCATGTTTTGCTTTATGCAGCCCCTGTTTTGCTTTATGCAGAATAAATAGAAGAAGAAACAAGTGCCGGAATTCAAGTCAGTTCACATTTCTTCTTGTTATTAACTTGCTAGCACAGGAGATTGAATTTAGGAACAAATGTGATAGATGTAGTATTTTTTTCTGTTCCCTAAGACTGTCCAAAATCAAACTCTGAAATATCTTTTAAAAAGAGCCCCATAACAAACACCATTTCTTTTTTAACTTTCTCGGATACCATCTCCAGCGTCATCATGTTTCACCAAGCATGAAAGGTGAGATTACTTACTAACCCTGAGACCCCAGGAATCAGCTATCTGTTCTCTTAGGCACATCGCTGGAGTAGCAGTGCTCTTTGATTCAAAAGTTTAACTTATCCAGCACAGCATGCCAGACTCTAAGGAAGGCTGACTAGCTCCTGCCCGGCTTGGATGTTGGTCTGTAGATGACTAGTGCTTGCTTGTGAGTATGAGTTCTGTCTGCATGGGAGAGCTTGGAGAGCACCTGCCTTCGGCTTTACCAGGTCTCAGATACAGAAGATGGGAAGGTTTTGTATTTCTGTAAGAGAAGTCGAACTGGAGAGCTCTTCAAACGTTGATGTCTCAGAAGGTTCTTCCAGCTTTTCAGTGCTGGAGTCTGCAGGTTAATCCAAGGATTCAAGCCATTGAGTTTCTATTCTATAGTTTTTCCTTTTCTTACCAATATTTGAGAGCATGTGTTATTCATTACTAGGGACACTACAGAAGCCTTGGGAAAGGCTTCCCAGGGGGATAGAAGAAGCCAGAAGAAGCAGGTAGATTGAATAATCCAGGTAGAGAATCTTATTTAAAGCTTATGTGGCCACTGTTCCGACCTTTGAATAAAGGTTTGCAGAGCAAAGCATAGGCTGGGGAGTTAGAACAATTCTCCACCTGACTGTTAAAAATCATCTGGGATTCAGTAGCTCAGTGCCTATTTGCACCACAGATCATTTGACCCACAGGGAGGAGGGCAAAGCCATCTTCACTAGCTTAGGTTGGATAGAAGGTGACTTGTGTCAACAGGATTCCCATTAGCTGACGTGTGTGACGCATACCACCCACTACTAGTAGGCCACCAGCATTGATGGAACAGGGTGGCTGTGTCTTGAGTATGTCCTCTTGACATATTTAGGAATCCTCTTTCTGGTTCTGTAAGAAACATGCTCGAACTCTCACTCTGCTCCCTCAAGAACTCTGAGCCTTAAAATTCATTAATAAATTAATAAATAACAAATAAATGGCAACTAGTATCTCATCGGGTGTTAGGGTAATACATGTAAGAACAACTCCAGGAGGTGAAAAGACACATGCCATTGTAAAGTGACCTTTTAGTCATCATAAGATAAATTCTGTCTGTGGAAGAGGTGTGTTTTCCTTTTCTAAAGAAGACTGTTTTGTCTATTATGTTTAAAAAAGAGAGAGACAAAGAAAAACTATGAACCCCCACACCCTCATTATGTTCTGAAATGAATTAATAATCCATTCAGCAGTGGCAAATAAGCAGTAAGCTGGTAATTCTGTGTATTCCACCAGTCTGCTAACAACTCTGTTGAACCTTAGCTTCCCAGGAGAGACATCATGGGTAACAACCTAACATTCAGCAGGTCCCACCATTCCTGTGTACTTAGTGGCTGGAGAGAATGAAGAATTAGGTTTCCAGCAAAAACAAAAAACAAAACAAAAAAACCCACTGCTTGTCCAACTTGTCCAATGATGGCTGAGCCTTTTTAAAGACAATCAAAATTATCTATTTACTCAATAGCTGGTACAGTGGCATTCACCTGTTATTCCAGCTACATCAGAGGATGAGATCTGGGGACATTGTGGCTCCAGTCTAGCCTGGGGACAGATAAAGTTCATGAGGCCCCATCGTAACAGAAAAAAACTGAGGGTAGTGGAATGTGTGTGTGTCATCTCAGGTACAGCAGAAGCGTGAATAGGAGGATCATGGTCTAAGCTAGTCCCCTCAAAGATGGAAACCCTCCCTCAAATTGTCTCTTGGACTAGAAAGAGCTGGCAGTGTGGTGCAAGCAGTAGAGTACCTACCTAGGGAGTCATGAGTTTCAACCTTGGTGATGAAGGGGAAAAAAAAAGAAAGAAATCTGTTCAGCTCATTAGTTTCCCTTTTAGACCATCAGAATCAATGTTATAAGCCAAGATGACATAACTTTTGTGGGGTTTGCAATTCACTAAAGGGGAAGAAAGCAATGATTTGAAAGATGTAACCTCCTCCTCCACAGAGTTAAAGTGCACTTTGAACTTGATCCAGTCGCACAGATGATAAAGGCTAGAATCTCAAGACTCACAGCTGAGAAACCTCTGTTGAAAATTCCAGAGGCTGTGCAAGGTCAG